CTTGGGTGTTAGTCTTCTATTTTGTTACTTTATATTCCCCAGATGAATGCAATCTTTCTATGTCCCTCTCTTTCTGACTCATTTCGCTTAGCATGATACTTTCCATGTAGTACCACTTGTATGTAAATTTCATGACTTCATCTTTTCTAACAGCTACATAATACTCCATTGTGTAGATGTACCAAAGTTTCTGTAACCAGTCATCTGTTTTCAGGTACTCAGGGTTTTTCCAGGTTCTGGCTGTTGTAAATAGTGCTGCAATGAACAAACAAGTGCAGATGTCACTTAGACTATACTTTTTTGGCCTCTCTGGAATATATTCCCAGGAGTGGTATTGCTGGGTCAAATGGGAGTTCAATTTCTAATTTTTTGAGAATTGTCCATACTGTTTTCCAAAAGGGCTAAACCGTTCGGCGTTCCCACCAGCAATGAAGGAGGGTCCCTTTCTCGCCACATCCGTGCCAGCACCGGTTGTTTTTGTTCTTCTGGATGTGGGCCAGTCTCTGTGGTGTGAAATGATATCTCATTGTTGTTTTGATCTGCATCTCCCTGATGATTAATGTGTTCTTAAGGTTATGCAATGCAAGCCAGACATGTGCTCCATTTCTTTAAGCTAGTTCCCTGGTTCTCCCCCCACCCCCATTTTAAGTTTTATAGTAGTTTTTAACTAAAACATGCTATAATGAATATATGAATTACATAAGTAACTAATGTCAAAACCAGGGATAAGAGGAGGGAGTTTTGATGACTGTTTCTTTCCTGCTTCAGTCTGAAGCCTAGAGGAGAGATTTTTGTCATAGCCTTGTTTGAATTGTCACTAAAGCATTCATTTTTCTGAATGTTATAGTGAGCTGTCAAAAATTAAAGTAGATTTTAGGTTACCACACTGCTTATGATATGCTAAAGGAACTAGGAAAAATTTGCTCATGTGCTATGTGAAAAATCAAAAGCAAAGGGCCAGAGCAATTGTACTGTGGATAGGGCATTTGCCTTGCACGCAGCCGACCTGGGTTTGATTCCCCAGCATCCCATATGGTCCCCTGAGCACTGCCCGGAGTAATTCCTGAGTGCAGAGCCAGGAGTAACCCCTAAACATTGCCAAGTGTGACCCAAAAAGCCAAAAAGAAAAGAAAGAAAAGGAAAAAAGAAAAAGAAAAGAAGGAAAAGCAAATAATACACCTGTTTGGGGAAGCATGGGGGAGGAAGGTGAATCACTTGGGCCATAATTTTGGGGATTTGGAGACCGATCATTTCCTGCTAGCGCTATCAGTTTTGTTCCCAAAGTGTCTGAGGCATCTGAAACATCTGCTCTTGGTGCTCATACCACAGGATTATTTGTTTAACACGATTCTATTGGCATTATGTGTTGAGTCATTAGCATTAGCCAAGGACCTTTTGAATTTTGTTTTGTGCTAAGGAAGGAACGGATGACTGGCGTTCTCTTTAGCATGCAGAGAGTATTGCAATCCCTTAAGATCTGAGCAGGATCCATGCTAGACTAAACTCTTCTGCTCTCCGGCAAGGTTCCTTGCATGCACCTTTGTAGCACTCTTCCATTTGGCTGTCTGACAGGCCTCACTTGATCATACTGCAGAAGGGCAGATGGCTTGTATTTTCTTAGAAGCTATCTGTAGCATGTAGCACTGTCCTCCCATTGTTCATCGATTTGCTCGAGCAGGCCCAGTAATGTCTTCATTGTGAGACTTGTTACTGTTTTTGGCATATTGAATACGTCATGTGTAGCTTGCCAGGCTCTGCTGTGCGAGTGAGATACTTTCGGTAGCTTGTCGGGCTCTCCGAGAGGGGCGGAAGAATTGAACTCGGGTTGGCCAGGTTGGCTGTATACAAGGCAAATGCCCTACCCGTTGTGCTATCGCTCCAGCCCTGAGCTATCGTGCAACTTAAATTCATGCTAGCATTGTATTTTTAGAATTAAACTACCAAAGTTGAGCCCATCTTCATTTTGACCTTACTGTTATTTAAAATCAGGTATTCCTTTGATGTGTTTGCATGTAATGAGCGATAGTACAGAGGTAGGGCGTTTGCCTTGCATGCAGCCGACCCAGTCTGCCCAGATTCAATTCCTCTGCCCCTCTCGTAGAGCCTGGCAAGCTCCCCGTAACGTATTCAATATGCGTCTCACAATGGAGATGTTACTAGGCCCGCTTGAGCAAATTGATGAACAACGGGAGGACAGTGACGGACAGTGACAGGTATCTACTTTAAGCCCTTTTCTTTATCTCTATCTCCTACATTTTTGGGGCTTTACTTATAATACCTCACTATGTAGTAACCCAAACTTTTGTTTTTTCTTCTACCAGTTCCCACAGCACTGTTGACTGCCTCTGTTTCATGAATCTCTGCTCTAATTCCTCTCCTGTTTCGGCTGTCTTTCGGAAGAGTCCTGGGAAATTTGCCCTTACTATCTATCTTGTCTGAAATCAATGCAGATGTGCTGCCAACCAGCTGTGGGCTGGGAACTTGACCAACCTTAGTGGGGAGTCAAGGCTTACAGGGAATGCAATCTACTGTAGGAGGTAGATGAACTAATAAATTACTGAAGATATCTGGGACTCAGAATAATTAGAGAATGAAAAGAGTAAGTAGAAAAGGGAGTGAGGAGCATTGCAAGAAATTCTTGTTCTTTATTAGCATCATGAGAAGGGTGAGTAATCTGCGTCCTTTCCTTTTCTGATTTATTAACAGAGTTAGCTTCTGCTGCTTTTGCCAGGAATCCTCTGAGCAGACTTAGTTGGCGGTGTGTTTGTGTCTTGCTGCCTTGTCCGGTATCTAGTTTCCTCATTGATTTTTTTTGGGGGGGGGGGGTGTCACACTCAGCAATGCACAGGGATTACTTCTGGCTCATGCATTCAGGAATTACTCCTGGTAAAATGCTCGGAGGACCATATGGGATGCTGGGAATCAAACCTGGGTGGGCCGCGTGCAAGGCAAATGCCTACCCACTGTGCTATTGCTCCAGTTCCCCTCATTGATCTTTGAGCCTGTCTTTTTGCCTGTCTTCCCAGCTGTGGGCTGGGAACATGGCTGACCTTAGTCGAGAGCAAAGCTTAAGAATACAATCCACTATAGGAGGCACATGAACTAATAAATTACTTAAGATTTCCAGGACTCAGAATAATTAGAGGATGAAACCTTCTTCACTCAGTGGAAAAGTCTTCCGCTGGAGGTGACTGGGCAAGTTCATTCCTATTTCTCAGGACTACCCCACATTTTCCCTTTGGGTGTCTGGAGGCGCAAAGAAAGTTGTATCGGAAGTGACAAGCACAGAAATTCCATTTGGTTTTAGCACCAAGGCGTATACACCTCTCAAAGTGATGTGTTTTGCTATAATTGACTTTGCAGTCATCAATCTCGTTAAGTCGTCAAAGTCGTTAAGATGGAAAAGAACCATAAGCAGACCTACTTTATCAATCTAACTTTAGCAGATATTACTCATTACCATGACAACGTACTTAAGAAGACACAAGCCGGATCTTGTTATTGATAATGAACACAAAAGCTTTGTAGATTTAGTTGAAAAAGTGAAGAGTTTGTTCAGAGCATCTCCATCATGCTCCTACAAACTCACTGGTCCCCAGTTTTTGGGGAAGATGGTATTTTATTGGAATAGTAGATAGCGTCATGATTCTGAGTTGCACATATTTGAAATCTTTCTGAAAATCTCTGAGTGGAAGCTACAAAAATACTAGCTTCTAAAGTGAGTTTTATAGTGAGGACAGTTGGTTCACAGATTTGTTTATTGAATGAGTAAGTTTTAGTAATGTGTACAGCTTTATGGGCTATAAAACTGGAGTAAAAGTTATGGTGTAACTGGAGTTACAATCAAATTTTAGTAAAATATTTGGCAACATTAGCAATCACTAAAAAGTGATTGTGAGAGTCAGTCCCGTTGGGCTGGGGAGATCTAGCCCCACACTGGGCAGTGCCTGGAGGGCCATGTGGAGCCACAGGTCCACTGGCTTCACACATACAAAGCATGTGTATGTTTAACATTGAGCTATATGGATAGCCCCTATCACTTTCACTTGTTACAGTTTAAACCTGAATTTACCATTTTGGTTTATGCTTTTTGCAAGTTTTCATGTATGCGTGTAAGCTCCCAAGCACTCCTGGTATTGCACCAGAAACAAAACAAAAACAAAACGAAACTAAACCAACCAAAACAAATTCACATTCAGATTGTAAATACTGACAAAAAACGATGTATGTACTTTTCTTTAAAATATGAAAAGGTGGGGAGAAAGAGATAGAGATGGAGGGAGAGAGTGGAGGAGGGGAAGGGAGGGGAAGGAAGGGGGGAGGAAGGAGAAATGCCTCCTATAGAGGCAAGGGGAGGAGGGAGGGAAACTGGGGAAATTGGGGGTATGATGTGTACACAGGTGAAGGGATGAGTGCTGGAACATTCTATGATTGAAACCCAAACATGAACGTCTTTGTATAACTGTGTATCTCACTGTGATTCAATTAAAAACAATGGAAAGAACAGTGTATACCTAAAGTGTACAGCACGGTGATTTCCCATGTAGATTTCAGTAACTAGCTCAGTGCTGAGCATGATTTCAATATATTGTAGGTATGATAATGCTGTAGATATATGTAAATTTTATATTAGTAAACATTAATTTTTCCATGAAATAGCATTGTAGCACTGTCTTCCCGTTGTTCATCTATTTGCTTGAGCGGGCATCAGTAACATATCCATTGTGAGACTTGTTACTGTGTTTGGCATATCAAATACAACACGGGGAGCTTGCCAGGCTCCGCCGTGCGGGCAGGATACTCTCAGTAACATGCTGGGCTCTCTGAGAGGGACAGGGAAATTGAACCCGGGTTGGCCGTGTGCAGGGCAAACGCCCTACCTGCTGTGCTACTGTTCCACCCCTTCCATCAAGTATTCAATTATAAATGAATCCATGTGTCTATAACATATAGTAATTGATTAAAAATTTTAATGTTCTTGTTTTGTTTTTGTCTTCTAGTTTGCCAGGGTTTGGATCCCTGATGCTGAAGAAGTTTGGAAATCAGCAGAACTGCTCAAAGATTATAAGCCAGGAGATAAAGTTCTCCTGCTGCACCTTGAGGAAGGCAAGGTGAGAAGCTTGCTTTTGCTTGTTGTCATTGGCTGAACGTGAAGGATCTCAAATGTCTATTTTTGCCAGCACATTGTTACTTTAGAGATAGACTTTGAATTCATCTAATGCATCTATTAAATCATTTTAAAATATAGTAAATCATTTTTAAGATAAGAAACTCTCAAAATCTCATAGTGAGTTGTTTGGGTTAGTGGAACTAATAGATACTTAAAAAAATCTATTTTTGTGCCTGTGAATTTTTAATGTTAAGATTTAGTTTCACATTTAGTTCTCTCAAAGATATACCTGTTTTATTTGTATTTTGTCAGCATTAAAATGAATTCTATGAGAACATTTATGGTATCAGTCTGAGATTTGAGTCTTACTGTTACAAGTGATATAAAATATTTAAACTCTTGTATATAAAGCAGATTTCTAGTGACCCTGAAACCTTGGATCCAGTCACGTCTCCATATACCTCAGCGTTTATGACATGAGTATACTAGCGGTGACTCTGCCCTTCTTATTTTTATTATTATGTTTATTTTATTATTTTAATTTTATTTTTTTTTTATTATTACCTTTGCCTGACAGGTGTGCCACAATTCTTAGGAAAGCCTTTGTGACTTTAATTTTTCAAAAACAACCTCTAGTCTAGTCAGGGAAACAAAACATAAATTCATGAAAAGTTAAAATACAGAATATAAAGAGTAGTTCATTACCACATACTCAAGGTGAAGAGTACCTTAAGTAAAAGGTACTTGTAAAAGGTAAGTTTATGATTCCATTGAATGAGTAATATTCTGATTGGGTAGTACTCTCCAGTTTACATGTATTGAGTACTACAGGCCAAGTATAGTTCTATTTTGGTGGGTGGGCTGGGGTTTGGGTCACACCCAGCAATGCTCAGGGGATACTCCTGTTGCAGCACTCAAGAATTACTCCTGACAGTGCTTGGGGAACCATATAGGGTGCCAGGGATCGAGCCCAGGTGGGCCACATGCAAGGCAAGCACCGTACCTGCTGTGCTATTTCCAGCCCCGCGAGCATAGTTCTGGATATTTTACTGTTTATACTCATTCTTACAATAATCCTATGGAGTAAGATTATTATTACTGTTTTACAAATGAGGAAACCAGGACTCCAAGAGTTTGGGGCTTACCGGGTGTTTTACACGTTTTGATAGATGACTGGGATCGGACTCCAGGAAATTTGCCTTCTTGGTCTGTGGTCACATTACTTCACTTTAGTACAAAGATTAGTGGGGACTTAGGGTCCCAGTTAAGGGAAATGTCACTAAGGGCTGTCTTGCCAGAGGAGACGTAAAGGAGGAGGAGCAAGGATTCTGACAGGGTCTTAAAAAGTAGTGAGTGAAGGTCAGAGGTTGTGAATATGACAAGTTGATTGGAGAAGAATTTCAGAATCGTGTTTATGATAAATGCATTGTGGGGGTGGGGCTTGTGTTTTGGGGCATCCCCGTGTTGCCAGGTGGGGGCTGCTAACAGTGGTACTCTTTCGCCTGTGTGGGGTTCAGTGCTGAGCGGCTCAGGCCCTGTGTGGAGTGCCTGAGTCACCCTGGCAGTGTTCAGAGGCCTTCTTGGGACTGGGATTGAACCACAGTCTGTGAGACATGCACCTCAAGGCCTGTGCGACCTTTCTCACCTCCTGGATAATAACCTGGGACTTTGGGATACCAGAGGGAATGATGTTTTTTTAAAAAGAAGAAGGGTGCTAAGTTTGTGTTTCAGAAGAGATTCATTGGTCGCAGAAAGAATGATGAACTCCAGGAGAACCAAAAGATTCAAGGGTTAGAAAGAAGACAGAAAGGGGCAGGAGAAATAGTACAGAGGGTAGGGGCTTGTCTTGAACAACACTGACCTGGGATTGATTCCCGGCATCACACAGGGTCTCCTGACCCCAAGAGAAGTGAACCCAACTGCAGAGCCAGGAATAAGCCCTGAGCACCTTTGGGTATGACCCGAAAACTAGGGGTGAGGGGTGGGAGTGGGGGAAACAGAATACTTGGACTTGAGAAATTCTGGGCACTGTCATCCAGAAATCACTGGAAAAACTGAATAGAAGAGAGGGACTTTACTGACAAGAAAATGGCTGATGCTGGGAAGTACAGCAACCAGTTCAAGCTGTAGAACAAGTTTCAAGGAGAAGTGGCCTATTTATATACCTGGAGAGGACGGTGATGTAAAGTCTATATATGTTCAGTAGTTTTCCAGGAAAGCTCATGCATATTTATGAGGTGAGAGATGGGTGTGCATATTTGAGAACATAGGGTGGACTTACATCGCATAGACAGAAAATGTCAGGAAAATGTCACTGGAGTGTGTTTTTAGTATGGTGTTGAGGAGAAAGTTGACTGTAGGCTGAGGAGGGCTATAGTGCACAGACTGGCTCTGTTTAATAAGGAGTCTGGGTTCCTTTTCATTTCAGAGGTATTTTTACTTTATTTTATTTAGTCACCATAAATTGCAAAGTTACTCGTCAGTGGGTTTCAGGCTCGCAGTGTTCTAACACCAGTCCTCTCACCGGTGTCCACTTCCTTCCATCCACCCCATTCTGTCGGCCTCCAGCCCCCCTCTGCTTCTATGAGAGGCACTTAAAATTTTTTTTTTTAATTACTTTTGGCACTGTGGTCTGCAGCAGTGTCGCTGATAGGCTTCTCTTCACCACCGTGAAGCCCAACACTCCCCTCCCCCCTCCCCCCTCCCCTGCGGAGCTGCGCACTTCCTACCAAAATACAAAGTATTTTTTAGCATCTGTCTTACTTGTTCTAGTCAAAGTCTCTTAAAGAATGTGGTAGAGAGCAGCTTCTCCTAGAGAGGGATTGTTTTTTAGACCATGAATCGTAAGCCAGTCTGTTTTTGCTTTCTTAATCCCAGAGAGTTTGTGGGGGAAAAGAGAAGAGACAGATACAAAGTCGAAAAAACTTTGATTTTTCCATTGCGGCTGCATTGGGCCAGATTTCGGGAGAAGGTGCAGAACCTGCTTGAGCTCTCGGGGTGCTGTTCTCCCTGTGTGCCTCCAGGTCCCTCCAAGAATTCATTTTGCTGAGCCAAGTCTCAACAAAAAAGGGTAACACAAATTACCTTATCATGTAAAAATAGAGCACTCTCCTCCCCCCAAAAATAATAAAAAGTACTGCACTGCACTGTCCTCCCATTGTTCATCGATTTGCTCGAGTGGGCCCAGTAACATCTCCATTGTGAGACTTGTTACTGTTTTTGGCGTATCAAATACACCATGGGGAGCTTGCCAGGCTTTGCCGTGCAGGCGAGATACTCTTGGTAGCTTGCCGGGCTCTCCAAGAGGGGGGGAGGAATCGAACCCGGGTCGGCCATGTGCAAGGCAAAAATGCCCTACCCACTGTACTATCGCTCCAGCCCAATAAAAAGTGTTTCTTTTGTTTTTTGTTTTGCTTTGTGGGTCACACCCGGCAATGCTCAGGGGTTACTCCTGGCTCTGCACTCAGGAATTACTCCTGGCGGTGCTCAGGGGACCATATGGGATGCTGGGAATCGAACCCTGCTCGGCCATCTGCAAGGTAAATGCTCTACCCACTGTGCTATCGCTCCAGCCCAATAAAAAGTTTTTTTTAATTAAAAATAATAAAAAAGCATTTTTACCAATTTCTGTAATATTGAATGTGCCAGGAAAAGAATATATCTAATTGTCAAGATGTGGATCAGGAATAGAAAATAAACCAAGTGTATGGGCGTGCTGCGAGCTTATTGTGTGGGTTAGCCAAATAATTTATTTTGTGCGTTGTCAGGATTTGGAATATCAGCTTGATCCCAAGACAAAGGAACTTCCTCACTTAAGAAACCCTGACATCCTCGTGGGTGAGAATGACCTCACGGCCCTCAGCTACCTTCACGAGCCCGCTGTGCTGCACAATCTCCGAGTCCGCTTCATTGACTCCAAACTCATCTATACGTATTGTGGTAAGTTGCCTTCCTTCCTCATGGACCTTAACCCTTTCCTCCGACAGACTTAGCACCAACCCCCCCCCCCCCCACCACCACCACCAAAAGCCTCCTCCCGCCAAATCCACACACACAGAACCCAAAAAGCAAAACATTTGCTAAGAGGGATTGGGGCCAGGATGAACAGAAAGGATAAGACCTGAGAGTGTTCCCACATCCCTGACATGACAGATCTATTAAACCTGAATTAAACTCAGAATCCTGAGAGGGGCTTTGCTGAGAACATCCACTGAAGATCCAGCCTGGACCTCAGGGAGCTGCACCTCTGCAGGACATCTTAGGGGCACGCTGCTCGCCGGACAGGGGCAAGGACAGCTCAGGCCGGAAGAGAAGGACTGCCAAGCCATGCAGGATTGAACCCGCACCCAGGGACCTGGGAGATGGCACGTTGGTCCGGAGGCTTAAGCAGAACTTGAGTTGGACTCAGGACCCTAGTTCGAATCTGAATATCAGGTGTCCAGAGCACTGCCATACAGTCTTTGAGGTCCCCTGCCCTGCAGAACCCAAGCAGCCCCATTGAACCCCCGTCCCAGACAGCTGAATATTACCAGATACGGCCCATGGGCCCCATGACCATTATCCTCCACTTCCCCCTTGCCCCCAAATGCTCAGGTAGCGGGTGAGGAGCTCATAGGTTCTGCAGAAATTCACCTTTCTGCCTTCACTCTGTGAGCGGCAGTGTGGGAGAGCTTGGCAGCCAGCACAGAGGCGGTGTCTGGGAGCAGCCGTCTTGGAGCAGCACCTGCCTGGGTCTGCAGCACCCAGAACGCCCATGCTCCAGACCACACTATCGCTGGCCGATACAGCCCTTCATCCTCTGTGACAGTCAGCCTGTTGAAGAGCTGTTATTTGGTACATGTGATCCCAGTGCGGGCCAGACAGTGACTGCACATTAGCTGTTAGACACCAGCAGTTAAACCCCGGGCCAGAGAGAGCCCAAGCCACCCAGATCCTGTTGCTATAGCAGCTCCAGGGAACTGGTGACCACAAATCTCCTGGTATTATCCAGGCACACACAACTCAGAGCCACAGGCATCAGTTTAGAAATGTAAAGTGAACTCCGGTCTTTGCTCAGGCTAGTTTCTGTTCAACCACACCTTGCTGTCAGGTGACACCATATGTAATAAGAAAGAGGAAGAATTCAACTGCTTTGGGGATGGAGCAATAGCACAGCGGGTAGGGTGTTTGCCTTGCACGCGGCCAACCTGAGTTCGATTCCCAGCATTCCATATGGTCCCCTGAGCGCCGCCAGGAGTAATTCGTGAGTGCAGAGCCAGGAATAACCCCTGTGCATTGCTGGGTGTGACCCAAAAAGAAAATAAAAATTCAACTGCTCTGATGGCTGGGAAGGAAAACAGAAAACCTTCAAACCTGAGGCAGACTTTAAGGCAAAGTGTGACCCATGCCCAATGAATCAAGAAATCGATGGGAGAGACCATTTAAAAGCTTAAAAATTAATGAAAAATGGAAAAACTAATCTAAAAAGAAATGAAGAAAGGACTGGAGAGGTAGTTCAGTGCTTTGGACTGACTGGGTACAATCCCCAGTGTCCCATATGGTCCCCAGAACATGCAGGAGTGATCCTGAATGCAGAACAAGGAGTAACCCCTGAGTGTTTGGGATGTAGCCCCAAGAGGAGGCAAAGAAAAAAAAAGAAGCCAAAGAATTAGTGGTTGAGCTACAAAGTACAGTGAGCAGGGCATCAGAGCAGAATTAAACCTAAACACAAACTAGTCAAATAGAGGCAGATGACGTGAATAATTTAAGAACAGACGAAAGAAAAAGAGGGTTTCACTTCTTTAAGTGAAGAGAACTTAAGGATTAGATGCAGCAGTATCAAGAGGAATAGGCATCATATATAAGGAATTCCAGAAGGAAATGGTTGGTAGAAGGAGCTGAGGAGGGAGTCATATGCACCAATTCAGGAAGCCCAGAGTTCTTGACAAGTTGAAACCAGAAGAACATCACAACATATGTGTGACCAAAATGACAACTACTCGGGCATTTGGGTTTTTTCCAGATTCTAGCTATTGTATAAGAGTGCTGCAATAAACATATAAGTGCATATGTCATTTCTAGTAGATGGTAGATGCGTGCTGAAAGTAGACTATGGACAAAATATTATGGCCGCTTGTTACCTGTATTGCAAAGCATCACACCCCAAAGGACTGAGAGTAGGAGGGATTGTGACTGCCACAGAGGCAGGAGGTGGGAACGGGTGAGGATGTGGGGAGGGATACTGGGAACACTGGGGGTGGGGAATGGGTACTGGTGGAGGGGTGGGTACCTGAACATTGTTTGACTGAAACGCAATCATGTAAGTCTGTAAATGTATCTTACGATGATTCACTAAAATAAAAAAAAAATTTAAAAAATGACAAAAACTGGAAAGAGAGATCTAATGACTCTTATATAAGGGAACCTTCATTAGACTCATTAGATCATTCAAAATAAACTACAAGCAAGAAGAGAAAGGAGTGGTATAGTTGAAGCACTGAATACAAAGGACTTCCAACCCGAAATTCTCTATACAGAAAGGTTTAGGAGTGATGAAGACATTCACAGACAAACAATAACTGAGGTCATTTATTGCCTCCAAACCAGTTCTGTAAGGAAAATTTAGTCATATGCTATGAGCAGCAAGGAAACTTCGTTTGGAAATAGATAAAAGTCACAGAATAGGGGAAAAATGGAGATATAAGGGGATTCACAGATAATTGAGCTGAGACATCTGTGCTTTAAACTTGTAAAACTGAAACTTCAGATATAAACTGCACAGTGATCTCAAAGCAGAAACACTGTGAAGGAAATTACAAGAAAGAACATGTGGAGCACATCACTACAGAAGAGGGTAGTATTAGAACACAGGCAGAGAAAATTAAAAGAAGCTAAAGGAACAGTGTCCAGTGGCTCAAAATCCTCAGAAAAAAATTGTCAACAGATTCCTTCATATCACTAATTTTTCTAAACATCAGTGGATTGTTCTTCCCAGTTTCTTTAAAGGCCACACCCAGCCATGCTCAGCACTTACTCCTGGCTCTGCTCAGGGGTCACTCTTGACTCTGTGCACAGGGATTACTCCTGGTGTTACTTGGGGGACCACTTGAAGTGCCAGGAATTCTGACCAAAGTTGACTGCATACAAGAAAAACACCTAAACCCCTGCACTATCTCTCTGGCCCCCGATCTTCCTTATTAAAAAGCTTCAGAGTGGCTTGATCGATCAGGAAACAAAATCTAACCTCTTGCTCTTTATAAGAGACACTTGAACGCTCATCATAAACACAGGCTTGGACATAGAGACAAATGGTAAGTTAAGAAAAGCAAGGATTAAAACAAATGACATTCAAACTAAAGAAAGTAATGAAATACGATGGACATTATATATTGGTTAAGTGGTCAGTAGGTCAAAAGGACTTAACTCTTAACATGCACCAAATGAGGGACAGTACAGTTTCTAAAGCTAATGGACCTGAGGAGATAAATGACAGTAACACATTAGAGGGAGATTTCAGCATCCCACAGTTGTCACTGGACAAACCAACCAGACAGAACATCAATAAGAAATGAAGATTTAAATGGAAGAACTGGGATTGATAGACACATACAGGATCATTCGCCCCTAAAAAGCTCAATGCACATTCTTCTCTAGTGCAAATATAACATTCTCTAGGATAGACCGCATGTGGGGGAAACAATGAGTGACCTTGAAGTCACCACACAGAGAACTAATTTCAGGTATCTTTTCAGAGCAAAATGCCAGTATCCCTCATGCAGCAGTCCTCAAAAAATACCAAGTGACCTGAATAAAACAAACAAGAGGATCGCACACTCTGATCAAGTGGGATTCATTCATTCCAAGGATTCAAGGACAGTACAGTATATGAGAATCAATTATTGACTAGACCACAGCAACAAAGGAAAAGTGAAAGTCCTGGTTATGTCTTTAAGTAAAGCAAAACTTTTGAAAAAAACTTTTAACATCCACGCATGATATGATTCTCAACACAATAGGGATAGAAGGAACATAACTCAATATCATAAAGACCTTATACAACAAACCGACAAATAGCATTCTTTTTTATTTATTTTTGGAGTACACCTAGCAGTGCTCAGTTTTGTGCTCAGTTATCTCTCCTGACAGGGATTGGGGGCTCTTTTGTCAAGGCAAGGCCTTACTCACTGTATTATCTCTCTTGATGGTAAAACACTGAAAGTCTTTCCTCCAGAATCAGGCACACGGCAAGGATATCCACCCTTATTACTATTTTTCACCATAGTCTTGGAAGTCCTTGCCAAGAAAAATAAATCCGACATCCAAGAGGAAGTTAAACTATCACCACACTCAGATGACATAAAAATATACTAAAAGACCCTCACGGTTCCACTAAAATTTTTCAGAAGCCATATGGTGAACTAGCGTACCACTAAACCAACATGCAAAGAAATCTGTTCTATTCCTATGTGCAAACAGTGAGCTAGAACAGAGATAAGTTTTAAAAATGTTTATAATTGTGTCTTCAGGCTCCCTCCTGAAGCCCGTGTTTTCTCTTGAACATGTGTATCACTTATCTGTGTTTCTTTGCTTGCGTATTTCCACTCTGGAGAACCCTGTGTTGTTTCTTAAACATACACCTTACTCTTTCTCTTCCCTCACATCTTTCTAAATAAGTTTTGATAAAACTATATTTCGTGCCCCCCCCCCCCCACAAAATTGTCTCTAAATATGAGACAAAAAGATTAATGGGCTGGAGTATGTGGAGTATGCAGGAGGACCTGCATGCATGGATTCTCAGCACCGTAGGATCTCCCAAGTACCACCATGTGCAACCTTTGAGCACTGAGACAGGAATAGTCTGGGAACATCACTGATTGTGACTCAAAGTGCAAAAAAAAAAAAGAAAGAAAGAAAAAAAAAAGAATAATTTCTGGACATCACTGACTAAAAATGCAAAAGAAAAAGGAAAAAGAAAAACAAACATGCAAGCAAGCAATAACTAGCACAGACCATCAAATATCTAAAAATCAAGTTAACAAAGGAGGTTAAAGACATACACCAAAAATGATGTCGCTCACTATTATTTAAAAAAAAAAACTAGAGAAGAACATAAGGAAATGATGAAAGATTCCTTGCTTATGAATGGGAAAAATTAACATCGTTAAAATACCATACTGGGCCAGAGCGATAGCACAGCAGGTAGGGCGTTTGCCTTGCACGCCACCAACCTGGGTTCGATCCCTGGCATCCTATATGGTCCCCCAAGCACTGCCAGGAGTAATTCCTGAGTGCAGAGCCAGGAGTGACCCAAAAAGCAAAAAAAAAAAAAAAAAAAAGTAAAATAACCATATTACCCCTGCATTGCACAAATTTATTGCAATTCCTGTCAGTGTTCAATGGTATTTTTCTAGGAATTAGACCAATCTTTCCGTATTATGCAAAGATTTATATGGAACCAAACTCCCTGAATAGCCATAGCAGTTCTGAAAAAGGTGAAGACGAGAGGCATTGCACTCCCTGATTTTAAACCCTACTACAAAGCTATAGTAATCAAAACAAAATGGTACTGGAATGGTCTCTTATACCAGTGGAACAGAATTGAAAACCTAGAAGTAAACCCTCAGATGTATGGAATGTTAATTAGTGACAGAGGAACATTAATGGAGGGCTGAAGACCTCTTCAATTAATGGTACTGGGAAAACTGCAAAACCTTGTGTAAAATACAGGTACGGGACCTCTCTCTCCCATCAGACACAAAGGTTAATTAAAATTAAAGACCTTAATATTAGATCAGTGTCAGTAAAATACATTGAGGAAAATATAGGCATGACCTTTTAGAGTATTGACCAGATTTGACTTCACTAGCAGAGAAAACATGAGCAAAAATAAAGCGAGACCACATCAAATTAGATTTTTCAAAAGATGAAAGGAACTTGGGCTAAAATAAAGAAAAAAATAATTAACAATTGTGCTGAAAGGGAGACTTTGTTTATACACAATTTTATCTGAGGACAAATACCTGTGACATATACCCAGCATACTGTACAACGACAGAAACAAACAGTCCCATCAGAACATGAGGAGAAGATGGGGCCAGAGTGGATAATATAACGGGTAGGGCACTTGCCTTCCATGCAAGCTGGCCTGGGTTTGGTGCCCAGCATCCCGTACGTCCCCTGTGCCTGCGAGGAGTGAATCCTGAGCCCCTAGCTGGGAGGAAGCCCTGAGCACTGCTGGATATGACCCCAAATTAAAAAAAAGGGGGAGGAGGAGAGAAGATGAACAGAGACTTCATCAAAGAGAACATATAGATAGTAGGCTGGAGCGATAGCACAGCGGTAGGGCATTTGCTTTGCACACAGCCAACATGGCCGACACGAGTTCAATTCCTCCGCCCCTCCCGGAGAGCCCGGCAAGCTACCGAGAGTATTCGATATGCCAGACACAGTAACAACAAAGTCTCCAATGGAGACGTTACTGGGCCCGCTCGAGCAACTCAATGAACAACGGAGGACAGGCACATAAAAAAGTGTTCATTATCACTTGCTATCTGGAGGCACAGGTCAGTTCATGAGAGAGCCCCCATCAAAAGACCATTACCAACCAATTGGCACAGTATAGTAAAACAGAAAAAGGAACATTCATTCATTGTTGGTGGGTATGCAGTCTGGTCAGCCTCTTTGGAAAACAGAATGAATAAATCCTAAAACAGAGTTGAACTTCCATATGACCCAACAATTACAATCATTGGCATCTGCCCCAAGATCACACATTAACTCGATAAGATATCGGCAGCAGCACTGTGTGCAGTAGCCAAGGTAGAATAGCTCACGTGTCCAATGGTGGTGCATGAATTAAGAAGTTGTGGTATAACCTAATATACGGCTAATATGCAAAATGTATAAATCACTCACAAGGCTCAGTAACAGCAGTAATAAAAAAACACTTGGGGAATGGAAAGAAGAGCCAAGCAGACACTTCTCTGAAGGAGGCATATGAATGGCCAGTGTTCATAGGAAATGGTCATCACTTATCAGTGAAATGCAGATCAAAACCATGACATGCCACCTTCACTAGTGAGAGTGAGAATAGCCAGTGCTGGGGGGGATTCAGTGAAACAATGTACCCTCAGTCACTGTTGCTGGGAATGTAAACTAGCTCAGCTTCTGTGAAAAATGGTGTGAAGGGCACTCAAAAGTAAAAAACCGAATTTCATATGCTCCAGAAATCTCAGTCCTTAGGCATTTATCTCAAGAACACGCAAACATCAATGAAAAAATGATAATGCATATATACAAGATATGAAAGCAACCCGCATCTCCAGTTTGTAGATAAAGAGGTTGTATATCAACACAATGGAATACTACTCAGCCATAGAAAAGATGAGCTCTTCCCTTTTGTTACAGCTCAGATGGAGTTAGAGAGAATCATGCAAAGCAAAATTTGTCAGGGGGAGAAGGAGAAATATTGGACAATCTCACTTATATGTGGTACATAAAAAAACAAAGTCAAGGAACAGACTGTATCTAATTATAACGGCCTCTTAGACTTTGACAACAGAACTGGTGTGATTGAGCAGTGGGGATGGTAATGTTGGTGGTAGAATAGTAAGAGGGGCAAGAGTCAGACTCAGAATAGCACTAGACAGTGGGGAGGATTTGGGGCACTCTGGTGGTGGTGGATGATTTTATACACAATTGGTATGAATTTAAACATTGGTGTAACTTGTGTTGCCACAGGTATTTTTCAATAAAAAAATTTAAAATAAATTTAAAACTTTGTGATATTTTCACATTTTATTTGAAATAATTTATAGAAGTAGAATATTTCACTTCACAAAAATTCCAAATCCTTTTAACAGTGCTAAAATATTAACTATTTTTTTAAAAATCTAATCTCTTTATTTATTTTTTTATTGAATCACTGTGAGATACAGTTACAAAGCTTTTATGTTTGAGTTTCAGCCGTACAACGATCGAACACCCATCCCTCCACCAGTGTACATTTCCTACCACAGTATCCCTCCCCTGACCCCCCGTTCCAACCCTCTCTCTGCCTCTGTGGCAGTTTCCCTCTTACCTTCTTTCTCCTTTTGGGCATTATGGTTTGCAGTACAGATGGTGAGAGGCCATCATGTTTGGTCCCTTATCTTCTTTGGATGGGACATGAGCACACATCTCCCATCCCGAGCGATCCCTCCAATCATCATTGACTCAGTGATCCCTTCTCTAATCTCATTTTTTTTGTGGGTTTCTTATTTTTTTTCTTAAATTTTTATTAGTGAAACACCATGAGGTACAGTTGAAGACTTACAAATTTTTGTGCTTGGGTAATCTCATTTTAAAGTAATATTTTTACATGATGGCTGCTTAGTGCCTATATTGCAAATCATAACAACCAAAAGGAGAGAGCGAGTAAGAGGGAATGTGTCTGCCACAGAGGCAGGGGGCAGGAGGGACACTGGGAACATTGGTGGTGGAGATTGGGCACTGGTGGAGGGATTTTTAAGTCTGTAACTGTATCTCACAATGATTCATTCAAATAAAAAAAATGGTGTTTTTAGTTAGAACGAGTATCATGGGTTCAGCAGCAAATACCATGATATATTTTGATCTTTAACAATTTTGTTAGTTCACTTTTAAGTGAAAATAAAATTTGTGTAAACTACAAACTCACTTTTCCAAGTTAATTATGCCTAATTGCATCTAACTGGCTTTCTTTTGTTATTTTTCCCTCTACCTCCAGGTATAGTCCTGGTAGCTATAAATCCTTATGAACAGCTGCCTATTTATGGAGAAGATATTATTAATGCATACAGTGGTCAGAACATGGGAGACATGGACCCACATATCTTTGCAGTAGCTGAAGAAGCCTACAAGCAAATGGCCAGGTGGGTCGAAACTCATTATTTCATGACTCTTATTAAGCATGGGTTTCATTTTTGTTGAGTAACAGGTATCTTACAACATTGCAGATGTCGTCTGTGAACTCTAGATATGCAGGCTGGACTAGTTTATCTCAGTAGTTTGCATTATTGCTAAAATAACCACATTTGTGTAAAAACATATAGTTTTTTAGAACTGCACATGTCATCTCTTCGTGTTCCTAGGTAAGAGTTGTTGCTATTTTTTATAGATGAGCATATCAAAGTTTGCTGCTGTAAGTGATATGTCTAATGTAATTTAATGAGTAGCGTATGAAATTTTGTTGTTATTTTGCTTTTGGGGTCTCATCCTGCTATGCTCAGGCTTTCTTCTGACTCTGAATTATCTCAGAGATAATTCCTGGTGGAGCCTGGGGGACCACCTTGGGCTGTTGAGGATCAAACCCAGGTTGGACTCGTGCAGGGCGAACATCCTCCCCACTGTACTATCACTCCAGCCTCATGAGTAACATATTAAATATGAAATAACTAAACATAATCTTGATAATGTTTATGCCATAGTATACCAGATTTTTCTGTCCAGTATTAATGAGCTTTGAAAATTTAAGGAAAGTTTGCAATTTTTAAAATTTAGTTTTTTGCTTTGTTCTTTTGGGTCAGACCTGGTGGTGCTTAGGGCTTACTCCTAGCTCTGTGCTCAGGGATCACTGTGTGGTGCCCAGGATCAAAATGGATAAGCCACTTGCAAGGCAAGTGCCCTATTTTCATTCTATCACTCTGTCCCCCTTAAAAATTTCTAGCTGACAAAACGATGATTAAAGTAAACCACAAATATTGTTTAAAATTTTGAAACTAAAGTGAATCTTACGGGGGAATACTTTGCAAATATTGTACTTCTCATAACGCATAATAATTTAAATATCTAGTCCTTTTTTTCCCCTTCAGTTATTACTGGGATTATTTAGTATTCCTTATATATTCATGAATAGGAATGCTGCTATAATGAAGTTTTCCTTTCCCCTCAACTTTGTTATTAATTATATGTATTATTGTAGACCCATGGATATTATCTCTATAGGTTACTCTCCATTAACACCACTTCTTTTATTGAAAAACTCCGATCTGACTTGGGAGCTCTCTCAAGTGCTCTTTCGATTCCCCTGTTACTTTTGGAGCGTTTCCTTTTGTAGTAACACACTCCTTGCTTCATTTCCTGAGTCCTTGTCCTAATCCGTATTTTGGTCTTTGTTTCAAGGAATCTTTGAATTATTCCTGAGTGTAGAAATAACCCCTGAGCATTTGCCAGATGTGATCCCCAAACAACAACAACAAAAAAACCGAAACAAATCAGACCACAGAATAGAGAGAGAGAGTTAAGGGTTAAGGCACCTGTCTTGTCTACAGATGAAGCCCGTTCCATTCCTGGCACTGCATGTGTCCTGAGCACTGCCAAGAGCAGTTCTCTGAACACAGAAGTAGCCCACAAGCAAGAATAGGTATGGCCCAAAAATCCAGACGCCATTGAAAAAAAAACACCACACATTCTATTTGAGGCAATGGGGAAACGGTCACTCCTAAACAATTCTGGCAGGAATACAAAATTACGCAACTCTTCTAGAAGGAATCAGAGCACCCAACAGAACTGCATTCATCCCTGTATTTTGAAGTATCCTATTTTTAGAAACTTAACCTGGATCTGCATCTCTAAGTACACAAGAATAAATTTACACAACGCTTTTTATTAGAGCATTGTTAGTCAGTGAAAGATATTGAAAATAAACTATGGACAATTAAAGAAACTGGATTGGGGAAAAAGCAGTAACCTGCGTAACCAGAAATTAAGTACATCATGTTGTATAATACAGAAGAGATTGGGCAGAATTCTGAATGGTAAGTTTTCCATAGGAGTATTGGCTAGCAATTCTAAAACCGTTTCTGAGTATCCTAGGATTGGGCAAACATGTATGTTATACTGTAGGGAAAGAGTAATGATTTTAGAATCAAAGAAAAGAACTAAAGGATTTTTTTTAAAAACCATGAATTGTAATTATGAATTAATTCATAATCCTCGCTGGGGCCCCTTGGAAGGGAGTGGGTTGAGCCTTCCTCCCCGCCCTGACCAGGGCTCTGGCAGCCGAAGACCTCCAGGACTAGCCACCACCATGCTGAGACCACTCTCCGCACACCTGAAGGTACCGGCAGAGGAACAAAGGCAAGCGGGACCCGGGGCTGAGATCTCCAAGCCTACTCAGATCGGAGCTGAACATCCTCCACCCAGATCCTCCGAATTCCAGTAGGCGGGGGTCACACCCACCAACTGGCCCCCTGGCACCGTGTAATCCCATCAGCGGCCAAGACTCAGAGACTATAAAACCCAGCTCCCGGAAGAAAACAGTGCAGTCTCCTGCCCCTGCGCCTGGCTGCCCTCGCCAGAGCCCCTTGGAGGGGAGCAGGTTGAGCTCTCCTCCCCAACCCGACCAGGGCTCCGGCAGCCAAAGACCTCCAGGACCAGCCACTAATAGGACATCCTATTATGACATCTTATTATCTCATTCCTACTTTGGACAAACTGGCAGGCTACCAAATGTAGCCTGCCCACACGGCAGAGTCTGGCAAACTCCCCGTGGTGTACCCAATATGCCAAATACCAGTAACAATGATGGGTCTCATTCTCCTAAAGAGCCTTGAATATAATCTCAGGGCTAGGATGAAGGAGACGTTACTGGGGCCTGCTCGAGGCAATCGACGAATAACCGGATGGTCGTGATTCGTGATTCATAATTATGAATATATCAATATAAACTCATGATTTTTACTATATATGTGCAGGCACACACAGAAATAAATAAAGATGTGTGTGTGTGTGTGTGTGTGTAAATACACACATACTCCATGTTGCAATTATGTCTGTGAGAAGCCATATTAATAGCATTATAAACCAAAATATTTTTTAACATTTAAATAAAATTTTAATTTTTTTCAAAAGATATGCAACTCCTTTTTACTTATAGAAGGGCAAATTAGAAACAGTCTCTTGAGTGTTAGCATGAAGGAAAGAAGAAAGTGAATCACTCAGTTATATTAGAGAAGGCTGTTCTAGGCAAAGATTCCCAATGACAGTCCAAAGCCTGAGGACTGCTGTGGCAGATTGGACTGATTTGGGTGACGCCAGGGACTAGATACATAATCCTGCATGCACAGCACATACTTGACCACTGAGCCATATCCCCATCCCAAAATTGGAATTTTTTCCTGAGTGTGGGATTTCAACCATAGGAATAGAATGATGTGGTAACTATGTGTAAAAGTGATTATAAATTTATATACCCCTAAAAACTATTTCTTGGATTTAATCACAAGAAAACAGTTGGGGGGGAAATGAAATTTGGAAAGGACATTGTAGGATAACACTGTATTGTCCTTCCTCAGGTAGCTTAGGTTTATCAGGTCACACCCATCTAAGGACACTGAACTTGTAAGCAATGTCCTTTCTGTGTGGACACAGGAAGAGAGTTAATATTATGCTTTGTAATTTGGGAGTTCATTGACTACGAATAATATTTACTCCTGGGCATCTGCTTTCTTGACTCAGTTGCCCTTAGTTCCTAGCACCCCAAAAGCAGGGTCCCGACGAGGGACTGAATGGACCCAGGGCAAGCGGTGAGCTACCCTGGTATCGAAATGGGCCAGGCCAAAGAGCCACGATACTCAACTATAAGTTGAGGGCATGATCATGGACAAATGCTGTCATGATCCAAAGTAAGTAACGACGAGACTAGGACCCTGTTAGGGCTAGGAAGACTAACCTGGCCTGAGAACTGCAGAATGTATAATGAGATGTTTATATCTCTTACTGTGCTCACACAGAATGACATTGCTAGAAATATTAGAAGTAGATTTACTACAACTACTTAAGTAGATTACTAGCTGAGGAAAGAACACACCCTTGTTAGGATCTCACCCTTGAGCAGACCTCCTAGTAATCTGGAATAATCTCTTTAGATGAGATTTTATCCTTGAGTTAATCTCCTGGAGGAGTGGTTTTACCTCTCATTGTTGATTTGTCAATATTCAACCCACATGTATGTCACCACCTTACGTGATTGCTATATAAACTAAGACTGTAAGCTTGGAGCAGGGGAGTCAGAAGTGAGAGGGCTCGGGCTCCAGAGATCCAGAGCCAGAGCCAGAAGGAGAAAGGTTCCAGATTGGGGCCCAGGAGAGAAGGAGGCAGAGAGAGACAGGAGTGAAGAGGATTGGAATAAACTACTATTGATATCTACCAGCCTGGCCCTCGTCTGTCCTTGGCCAACAGCTGTCCCGATCCAGGCCACACACAGTGGCTCAAGAGCACCGAACGTGGGCGATGAGACAGTGTCATCCAGTGAGCCTGCGAACACACAATCTTCGGCGTGATAAGATTTTACAGGACATGTGTATGCTCTTTAAAATGATCACTGTCCTGTCACTGTCCTCCCGTTGCTCATCGATTTGCTCAAGCGGACCCAGTAACGTCTCCATCTTGAGACTTGTTACTGTGTTTGGCATATCGAATACGCCACAGGTAGCTTGCCAGGCTTTGCCGAGAGGCGAGATACTCTTGGTAGCTTGCCGGGCTTCTGAGAGGGGCAGAGAAATCGAACGTGGGTCGGCCAGGTCAGCCGAGTGCGAGGCAAATGCCCTACCTGCTGTGCTATTGCTCCAGCCCCTTAAAACGATCAAAGCAGTAAAAGTCAAAGAAATGCTAAGAAACTGTTCTGAAATAAAGAGCTCACCAGTCTGGGCAGCTTGTGGGAGAACATTGTTGGAGGACTGATAAAAGTGGATTATAGAAGGGAGATAATTAGGTAATTCTATTATAACAGTGGTAGGTTTCCTGATCAAATATATCACTATGGCGATCCAAAAGTCAGACATTGTACTAACACATGTAGGAGTCATCATGTCTGAATGCACCTTCAGATGTTTCAGAAAATCTTTAAGAAAAATAGATAAATTGTGAGTTC